ATCGTTAAGCTGATTCATCAGCTGAGTTTCCCTGATTAAAGATTCCCCTGGTTGATTTGGGTTTTTGGTTAACTTCTAAAGTCCTCCAATGTTGATTTGCCAGTTTGGGGCACTTTTCGTTGTCAGAGACACAGACATGTGAAATTTCTTACTCTGCCGTTTCACTGATTTCATGCCTCACCTATTTATTTTAAAACACGAATCTTGAATGTCCTACTCAGCATTTTTAGTTTGGCGAATTGGTTTGCTTTGTTTACAGAGGTACTTGGGGAATGTGTGGTCCATGATACCGCTGCCATTAGGCTTCACCAAGAATGTCCCAGCCCACTCAGGCTGGCAGGGTCCGTCTACTCCTGTTAGTTCTGGAAAATCTCTCCTGGGCCATGCCCACTGACCACTGGCCCCTGCTCCATCTCTGACCCTCTCCTAGGCCCTGCACAGAGTGAGCCCAACTCACTGTCCTGGCTTCTCCCCTGCCCAGTCACGTTCTCTCTCTCTCCTTAGCAAGCCCCCTCCCTCTTCCAAGCCAGTTTCCAGTGTTCAAGGTTCTGAGTTTAGTCTTGGCTTCTCTTCTTTTTTTGCATCTGTCTAGTGGTCTGTCAAAGTTTATGACACAAACTTACATCCAGCTCTCTCCTCAACATTCCTATATGGGTGTCCCATGGAGGGTAGAACCAGACCAGGAGGACAAGCCAAGATGAGATCTTCTCTGTCCCAAGGTCTAGCGAGAGTGGCCATTTAGGATTGGCTTAAGTGGCCTCTCCTTGGTCTCCACTAATGACCCAGAAACTAAGCAGAGCAACTGAAGCAGTAACAGGGCCTGTCCTTGCAGAGGAGGGCTGAGTGTGAGAAGCTGGAGCTATGAAGTCACCGTCTCCTTAGGAGATGGCAGAATCTGTGGGCATCTATTTTGTGAGTGGTGTGGGTGATATTGAGGGTCATGGAACTTGGCAGATAGATGCTCATCCCTGACTGTAGAAAGATAGTTTCAGTCCCAAGGCAGTGGTAATATCACAGGAACTACATCCTGGTGAGGAGAAACTGCTCCCCAGAGAAGCCCCACTGTGATAGGGGGAATCCTAGGAGCTGAGCCACGGGAGACAGGACAGATATAGTGGTCTGTGCAGTCCACAGGTGGGTAGCAAGGCAGGAACAGGCTGTGGAATAGTTAAAGATGAAATTTAAAAGAGAGAGGGTAAGGAGTGTCAGTCAGAGGGAGGAGGCTCACCCAGCAGCACCCTGGGGAAGCTTAGCTCTCCATTAGTCCTGACCAACACCAGAAATGCATGGCAGGCTGGAGAGGCCAGGGCCGGGCCTGGAAGGAAGGTGTTCAGTGATCAGGCTGATGGCAGGGAAGAGACAGAGAAGGAAGTGACTTCAGTGGGAGAAGGACGAAGTGGCGGAAGGTGGTGCCCTCAGTACTGATTCAGGAAGATGAGGAATTGAGAGAGAAGAGCGATATGAAAATATGGACCTCAAATTGAATCCTGGGCCTGAGAGTCACAGAAAGGCAGCCCTAACTCTAAAGCCAGGACAGGAATTAACTGGAAGTTTACAACACCCTTGGGGGTTCTGGAGAGCCGGGCTCCGGGGCAGGAATGACAGTGGTTCCAGCAGTCCTAAGAGCCAGTGGGCAGCATGTGGGTAGGACACCTTCCCACACCTCAGGGTGCCATGTTACTCTGGACAGTGTCCCTGACCCAGCTGTGAAGTCCACTCCAGATTCAAAATCCAGGCAAGGGCATGCGGCTGGCCAAGCCTCAGTCACATGGTCACATCTGCCTGCCTGCTGGGGACAGAGCAGATCAGTTCCTTATGGCCTCATAGAGGGAGATGGGGAGCTGCTCCAAATCAGGGAGGGACTGGGTATTGCTCAGCCAAAACTGAGTTCCACTCCCCCGTGACAAGGAGGTCCTTAGAGGGGAGACTGACTGTCTCTTCCCTTGGAGAAAGAAACCAGGGAGTGTTGCAGGTGCAAAAGGAGGAATGTTGGTAGGGAAGGGGACAGGGGTGCCCAGGGCAAGCAGTGTCCATCTGCCAGAGGTGTGGGATGAGGTATGTGACAGCCGCAGGAGAGATGTGAGGGAGTGCAAGGGTGCCCGGGAAATTCCTGCTCTTTCCATCTGTTCCATCCCAGCCTTTCCACAGCAGCAGCTGTTTTCACCAGGGAGAAGCCTTGGTTTTCAGCAATGTAAAACTGACTCAAAACTGACTCATCAGCTCCCAAAATCTACTCCTTCCCTGAAGCTTCACTGCAGGCACACCTCCTTGTTGAAGCCCAGTAAAGACAGGGGAGGCCAGCAGTACCCAGGCAGCTGTGCTGGTGGCACCCTCCCCTCCTCCTGCCCCACACTGCTTAGAGGACAGGTGACAGCTCCCTGGCATCCCAGAGCATGTGGCAGGTCCCTGTGGCCTTGGGCACAGTGACAAGGGAGATGGAAAGATGGCAGCCACTAGCCATGTTTTTGGTCCTAGCCACTCTGCGTGGTTTCAACCTTCTCCTACAAGGAACTCCCTAGCTGATTTCCTTGGTTTAACCCTGGCATGGCCAATTACAAACCACCAGCATGGTGTCACCAGATGTAGTACTGGGAAGAGAGCTGTATTTGCCCCATACACAGTGTTCTCCAGAAGGACCAAGATAATAAAATGGAGTTGGAGATAAGGAGGAGTTGAGAGTCTGTTGGCTGTGTTTGAAATACAATTTATTTAATTCTAAATTAATGCAATTTAATTTCTAGTGATATCTCCCTTAAATCTCTGGCTTGCAAAGTACCTGAAAACAAAGGTCAGGTCTCTTGCCCATGGGTGCCAGGTGGTTGATCCAGCACACCCCTTGGGAGGAACAGGAGGAACTGGAGAGAGTCTGGGGGCTGCCCGAAGACCTTCAGTGAAGGGCTGGGGCGAAGACACCAGGGGACAGGCACTGCAGAGTCAGGGGAGCACTGTTCCCAGCTCTGCACCAGAAGGGCTAGTTCTGGTCCTCTGGCAGCTTCTGGCTGCAACCTGCCCCCCCCCACACACACACACCCAAGGCTAGAACCCTTGGCTTTGCCTGTGAAGCCCAAACCCAGCCTTCTCATCCCCTCTGCTGGACACTTTTAAGCAGTGCATGGTCTATACAACAGTGTTGTGTGGCCCTCGGTGGAATGAAGTTGTCTCCCTTAGGCCTCAGAAACCATGCCCCTCTTCTCTTTCTGACTGGGAGACTGATTAGCAGATGCACCTCTTCATGAGAAACCTTCCTTGGAGTGGCAACAGGCAAAGGTTCCCTCCAATGGTCCTGGGCCCAGGGATATGCAGCTATCTTCAGAAGCAATATTCTCACCCCTGGCTTCATAGAGGGCCTGTAGAGATTTTCAAACCCCCAGGGCCACCATACATGCTGGACTGGTCCCTCAGAGCTACAGGGTGAGACACAGGTACTGGTTATCAAAGCTTTCCAGTGTGAAGCCAGGCTGGGGAGCCCCTGTTGTTTTGTTTTGTTTTGATTTGTTGTGTGGTGTCTTATGATCCTCCTGCCTTGGCTTTCCAGTGCGGGGTGACAGGCATGCACCATCATGTCTGGAGAGCATGTTGTGAGGGCACCTGGGGGCGGGCCAGCTGAGGTTGGTGGGTGGAAGTCCACTTTCCAGAGAGCTCATTCCCTAGTGCCCACCTCACCTCTCAGTGCCTGCCCCAGAGCAGCTCTTGGGAAATGCCCAGAGATTCCAGGCAGGAGAGGGAGGAGGCTGGACCCAGAGCCATGGCTGGAAGGGCAGCCTGTGTGAGGACCAAGGAGAGGGCCAGCTCTCAACCTCCCTCCTTCCTTGGCCTGAACCACTTAAAAGTCAGGGAAAAGGGCACCTCCTTCCAATAAAAGTTTCTACAGGAAGTCACTGTGTCCCACTTTGGCCCCGCTCCTGTCCCTCCTTCCACAGTTCCCACATCCCTTCCAGATAGACCCTAGGATCCTTCAGGGGGAGGAACAGGGTGCAAGGCCTGAGGGCAGTGAGGAAGGAGCTGATGTGGCCCCAGCCCCCCAGGTCACCTTCCCCAGGCTCCAGCCTTTTCCCAGCTTGACTGCTGGGTGTGAGCCCAGAGTCTGTGGTTTCGTCCATTCCAAACTCCCATCCCCAGAAGAGCAGGCCGGTGAGCCTGGTGACTTAATGTCACTAGGGGAAACAGCTGCACAGGAAAGGGGCCTGGAGGTGGTTTCTTAACCAAAACAAGGGTGAGCAGGCTACACTCCTGTCTTGCCTGGGACTTGGAGCACCAGCCAGGCTGCATTACTCACACAGGCTTCCTGATTGCTCAAGATATTGTCACAGGCCACGGGGCTCACCCTGTGACCCTGGTGTCAACATTAGGAGTTCCAGCTCTGTGGTGTCCACACTGCTCTTGGGTGGCCTCGGTCTCAGCCTGACCCTGCCCGGACCTGGCCCTCAGGGAAGGGATCAGGGCCTACGTGCCTCGCAGTCTGCTCATCTTCTTCGTTAGCCCAGTGAATGCTCTGAGACGCTCTGTGCGCGGGCCCAGACCCGTGCTGCCCCTTTACCCATGGCCAGCATTCCCAATAGGTCTCTGCCTTCGCCCGGGCCGCTCGGGATTTGGACCTCTGGAGACCACCAGCTCCTTCTGAAAAGTACCTGCCTTCCAATATTGCTGGGCCTATGGGGCGGGGCCTGCAGGAGTCAGCCTTTTGTACCGAAGCGCTCTCCGACCCGGGCCGGGCAGCCACAGTCCTGTGCCCTTCTGGCGGCCTCTCAGTGGCCACCTATAGGATGGCGCCCAACAGGATGGGAGCTCCACGCGTGGACCACGGCGACTCCTGGAACCTGCCTGCTAGTGGGGAAGATCCCCGGGCTCGGACACCCACTTCCCGGCTTAGCTCCCCGCCACACACACACCGCCACGCCCTCATGGCCAAGCCCATCCTCGCGCCTCTCCCTTTCAGACGATCCCGAGGCGCCCCGCCCTCCAGAGCCCCGCCCCTTCCCTCCGCCCCTCCTCCTGTGCACGGAGTCTAGAGCCCGGGCAGCTCAGAGGGACCGCCAGGGCGACCCCGCCCTGGCCCGGTGATCGATCACCAAAGATCCCTGTGTCTTTAATGGACCGCTTGGATGGGAATTAATTCTGGGATGAATAAATAATGCATCGAAGTTTACGTAGTCCTAGGCGAGCCATCCGTCCGGAGCCAGGAGAGGGAGCCAAGGGGCCGCGAGGGCGACGCCAGCTGCAGGGGGCGACAAGCGGGGCGTGAAGCGCCCAGCAACAGCGCAAAAAGAGGGACGTGGATGACGGGCTTGGGCCGGTGCGTCCGGCCCCGCGGCTGCAGGAGCATGCTGAGCCCGAAGATCAGACAGGCCCGCAGGGGTGAGTCCAACTTTCGGTTCCGCTGGGCGTGCTGGGGCCACCTTGGACCTCGGTGAGCACGCTGGTGACGGATGTGCGACGCCTGGGCTGCGTGGAGCCCAGACTGCCATGGCCAGAGAGGGGTTGGTGATGTCCTCCAACATTCCGCGTTGTCCAGCCACCCTCTGTTACTCTAGGTGACCAGAGGAAGACTTTGGGGGAACGTTTGCTTCTTTACTGAAAGAGAAATGCCCAGGATTGGCCCACAGCAGATATATGGTGATGCCTCGGCTCCTCCAGACTGAGGCCCAGTGAGGGGCTCACACTGCAGCCTGGGAGTTTGCTCAGGAGCCTGGAGAGGCAAGGACTTGCCAGCCTTTCTACCAGAATAATGCCCAGAAAACTGCAGCTGAGCCTGGAGTAGGGGTGGGTGAGGCACAGGTTCAGGGGCAAGGGAGAGATAGGATCTGGAGAATCTAGGACTGGGCAGACAGAGTGGCTGAGGACTCTGGATAGGCTGAATATCACATCTCCCTGGACAGTGACTTCCTGGCTAGGGCAAGTTCAGATGAAAATGTGTCTTTTTAGGAAAACAGAATGTGGCCAGTGTTTTAGAAGACCTCCCTGTGAGCAGTTAGCACAAACAGGGGCCTTTGGAGATGGGTGGGGCATCTGGGACAAGGGGTGATTGGAAACAGCCTCACCCTCGGTTTGTGGCCGGACCTTTCCACCTCAGGGAGAACCCATCTGCTGAGCATGCCACAGCCAGCACTTGCATGACTTTCCTGTGTGGGACCCACCTTCCTGCCTGCTCACTGGACATCAGCACTGCTGTGGGTTGCATTGGGACAAGGTTGTCACCCACCAGCCAGTGGGTAGAAGAGGACCCTGACTGGTCTATGCCTGGGCCAAAAAGTCACACCAGATGTGATAATTGACTATAAAAATGTAGAGTACAAAAAAAAAATCCCCTCAGTAACTATTTTATATTAATTACATGCCGAAATGACAGCTTTTAGATATAATGGGCCAAGTATTAAATTTAATTTCACCCTTTTTTCCTTTTACTGGCTTTTAATGTAGTCACTAAGAACATTTACAATTATATGAGGCTCATATTATACCTTGTATTTTTTTTATTGGCTGGTGCCCCTCTAGAAAGAGACCAGTGCTTTAGAAAAGGGAGCTGCCTGTGACATCGTAAAAGTCTTACAGTGATTTCAAGTCCATGGTTCAAAATAAGGAGTGGTTTTTCCGGTGCCCAATCCTAGGGACATTTGGCAATGTGTGGAGGTACTTGGCTTTTCCCGCTGAGGGTGCTACTGGCATTTGGCAGGTAGGGACTAGGGCCACTGCTGAATATGCCACAGTACAAGACAGCCCCATTGAGGACCTGGTCCTAATGTCCATAGCGTCTAGTGCCAAGAGAAAACCTCTACTGGATGACATTATCTACCTGGACATTTGACAAGATGAAGTTTATAGGGCTGCTTTTCAGACATTAATAAAATAGATTCCTGCCCACAAAAGTGGGCACAGGCATAAGCCACAGGCAGATGTACCCCAAGAACATGTGTTACAAATGCGGCACAGGGTGTCAGGAGGCATCCAGGGAGTGAAGAGGCTCCTGAGCTGTGGGCTGGGATGATGGGATGACTTCTGGAGGAGGAAGTGGCATGGGAAGGTACAGGGATGGCGGGGCCAGGATTGTGAGGAGCTGCAGGCAGGAAGAGGCTGTATGCACAGCCTGAGGCTAGAACCAAGCCAGGAACTAGCCTAGGATTGTGGCTTTATAACGTAGGACTAACGCCCCCCTGGGAGCATTTCTGGAGAAATGAGGACCAAGAGAAATTGGCTCTGATAGAAAGAAGACATCTCATCAGAATTTATCTCTGCCCAAACCTTCCAGTAATCAGGCAGGGCACACGTTAGCAACAAGAGCAGAGAGGTTCAGCTATGCAAATCCTGCCCTGGTACCCAGCCGCCCTCTGGTTGGGACTGCCGCAGACCACACTTAGTGTAAACTCATCTTTGTGCAGCTGTGCATGATGTGTGGGAAAGACAAGGCACTTTCTAGGGCAGGCAACGAAACCAGGCCTGGCCCAAGGGCTCGGGAGCCTCTGGGGTCTGACCAGGAGGCTGCCTTCATGGGCTCCTTACACCAGGGCTTCCACCAGGACCTCTCTCTCTCTCTCTCTCTCTCTCTCTCTCTCCTGTCTCTCTCTCCAGGCTAGCCCTGAGTGAGTGGGGAGAGGCTGCCATCTCCCCAAAAGATATCCTTGTCTCCTTCTGGGTGTGAGAGAAATGTCAACACTAAGAACCTCCTGGGGAAACCCTTAGCACCTCATACGACAGTCACCTTCATAGGACACTCTCACTCTGCCTTCTGTTGCTACAACAGAACACCTGTGACTGTGTTGTTTACAAAGAAAAGAGGCTTATTTGGCTCCCAATTCTAGGACCCCAAGAACATGGCACTGACATCTTCAGATTCTGATGAAAGTGGAAGAGAGGAGGTGTGTTGTGTGTGGAAGGAGTGTGTGAAAGAGGCTGAGCAGAGGTGCAGGCTCACTTCCTGACCCCTCTTGCCATGACCAGCCAGCTTTCTAGGAAACTATATCCATCCCTGCAGGAAGAGGGAGCTGGAGACTTCACTGCCTCTTAAAGGTCCTGACTTCTCAGCACAGACGCATGGAGATTCAACCTGAGCTTCACTGGGGACAGATCCTGTCCAAACCACTGTCTTGACCTCTCTCTCTCTCTCTCTCTCTCTCTCTCCTGTCTCTCTCTCCAGGCTAGCCCTGAGTGAGTGGGGAGAGGCTGCCATCTCCCCAAAAGATATCCTTGTCTCCTTCTGGGTGTGAGAGAAATGTCAACACTAAGAACCTCCTGGGGAAACCCTTAGCACCTCATACGACAGTCACCTTCATAGGACACTCTCACTCTGCCTTCTGTTGCTACAACAGAACACCTGTGACTGTGTTGTTTACAAAGAAAAGAGGCTTATTTGGCTCCCAATTCTAGGACCCCAAGAACATGGCACTGACATCTTCAGATTCTGATGAAAGTGGAAGAGAGGAGGTGTGTTGTGTGTGGAAGGAGTGTGTGAAAGAGGCTGAGCAGAGGTGCAGGCTCACTTCCTGACCCCTCTTGCCATGACCAGCCAGCTTTCTAGGAAACTATATCCATCCCTGCAGGAAGAGGGAGCTGGAGACTTCACTGCCTCTTAAAGGTCCTGACTTCTCAGCACAGACGCATGGAGATTCAACCTGAGCTTCACTGGGGACAGATCCTGTCCAAACCACTGTCTTGCTTGAGCCAAATTCATACTGGGACAGATGAGGCTGTTGTCACTTCATTGTCAGGGACCATTCAGGAAATCATTTCACATAAGCATATGAGTTCAGGGTTCACACTAGCTCAAGATGTAGTGCCCAAGAGTTAGCTAGGTATGGCCTGGTGACCCTGCCCTGCTCAGCCTCTGCAAGGCTCCCTGAGGAACTGTTTCACTGTTGGGTCCCCTAGGCTCCTCCTCAGCTGACCCACATTCCCACCACTGCCATAGTCCCAGGGTGGGAATAGAAGAGGCGGCTTGCTCTGTTCTTGCCAGTAGGCCCAGAAGAAAAATCAGATGCACTGACTAAACCTCCATCAAATAATTACATGTACAGTGGAGCAAGTTGCAAGTCAGTGGACCCTACAACACCATGAGAATAGCTATTTATTGTCCAAGACAGGAAATGCCAGCCAAATCCTGGGAGTGGCTGGTAGGTTTACAAGGTAGGCCTGGCCTAGACCCCATGCTGCCGCCCCACCTTGACCTCCACCTGCTGTCCTCACTATGCTTGCCCTGTGAGCCTGGGGCCCCTGGTTCCTCACAGTGCTAGGACCAGACACTACTGAGGGGCAGAACTGGGTGTGAGTTGTTCCCATGACCCCAGGCTACAAACAGAGCCCCCAGTTCTTGACCTTGCTGCTACCCTAGGCCCCTAGGGTTGCTCCCTCTGTCACAAGGCTTGCTTCTCACAAACCTGATCCCTTCCTAAGTCCTGCTGCAGGCTTGCTTGGAGCAGCAGCCAGGCGTGTAGCTGTAGCCTTCCCCACCCCATAGGTGTGAGAGGTGTCAGTCAGAGGCTCCGCCACCCCACTCTCCCACCTGTCACATCCTGCCCCGGCCATCGTCAGCTGGAACCTGGACTGCCATACCAGTTTGCCCCTTCCCACCATCCGTTCACCACCCCAAAGCCACAGCCATCTTTCCCCATGTAAACCCAGTCACACACCCGCTCCAGCTAAGCTAGGATCCTTCACTGGTTTCCCCATTGCTCTTTGGGTTAAAAGCTAAGACTTACTCTGGCCCATAAGCCTGACTCATAGCACAGCTCCTCCACAATTTCCCTCTCCTCTCACTCTCCAAGCCCTGCTACACTGGTCTTCTCCCTGTTCCTTGTAGTTTCATGAGCCTCCTGCCATGGGGCTTTTGCACACCCTGCTTCCCTCTGAAATTCTTCTTGAGCTCACACATGTGCACTCTGTAACCCCCACTTCTTCTACAGGCCTCAGCTCAAGGATCACAGCCAGGCCAGTCGTCCCATGACCCCTAGTCCAAGCTGGGTCCCTACGCTCTTTTTTCCTCTATAGCATTTCTCTCAGACTATAGATGTATGCTTCTGAGGGTGATTTTTAAAATATCTGTCACCTGCACTGATGTAATTGTTTAAATGTTAAGTGTTCCCCCCATAGACTCTGGTGTTGAAGGCACTAACCTGAGTTCACAGCTGTCAGGAGGACTCTTAGGAAGTAAGAGGTGGGGCTTAGTTGGAGGAAGTAGGTCACTTGGGGCTGCCTCTGGAGAGTAATCTCTTCTTCAGCTCATTCTCCCTCCCTCTTCTTCCTGGCTGCCATGAGGTAAGCAGCTTCCCTCTGCCACATTCTTTCTGCTTTGGAGCCAGCCAGTCACAGACTGAACCTCTGAAACTGTGAGTCAAAATAAGCCTTTTCTCTTTGAACTTGTGTATGGC